ATTTACTTGAAGAAATATGTGTGTAAATTTTTCTTAGAGGCAATGCCTTTAGAAATGTTAGAGAAATGTTTAAAAAAACATTCAAAAACTATCATCAATATCATTTATTGGTAATGTTGAATTACCTTTTTATCTCTTAACGCTATTTGAGAACATTCAATTTCATCTTTTCACCGTAGCGCTGCAAGAAATACAGCTTAAAATTAGTCAGTTAGAGGTCAGGCTTGTGCAGCATCAAAAAATGAATAGATATTCTGTGATACATATTTTTCTATTTTTAGTTTATTTATTATTGTATAATGAAGCAAAACAATATCATGCTGTGGTCATTATTCACGGAGTTCTCACTGGAAGCGATAGCATGGAACTCATTAGTAACAGAATTCAGGAGGTAGGATGGCAATAGAACAAAAGGACCTGTTAAAAAGGACGTCGCAACATCATTGTTTCATTATGCATTTTTCGTCGCAACTTTACACTTTTCTCCCATGAATTATTTATTTTTATTGTATGAATACATTATACTTTATTATACTTTATTGTATTATTATTTGCACAGATAAAGAAATTTTATTATATATATTAAATTATTATCATTTCCCAAATGTTTTATACAATTTTGTACATTATAATATTGTATAAAACGTTATTTTTTATATTAATGTTTTTATATTAATGTTTAAAAGAATTTTATATATAAATTACAGTATATAAATTAGTAGAAGTCTAATTTTTCTATTTGATTTATATCTTCACAGATGCATCCTGATACTCCAATCTATAACACTGTCAGATTTGCAGGTTGGAGTAGTTTGGAACCAATGTGGCAACAGGTAGAGGAAATAGGCATGGATGTACTTTCTATAAGTGCTGCATTTCCTGAAGGAATTAATTTAATAGGTTACAGTCAGGGTGGTTTATTAGCTAGAGCCATATTACAAAGATTTCCCATGCATAATGTCAGAAATTTTATTTCCTTGAGCTCACCGCAAGCGGGACAATATGGAAGTATGTAAAATAATAATATTCAGATAAAAAAGAAAACGAGAATTTCATTATAATTATAAAATTTTGATTTCAGCACGTTTCCTGCATTTGATTTTCCCAGATCTAGTCTGTGAAACTGCTTATGAACTTTTTTATTCGCGACTTGGGCAACATACCAGTATTGGAAATTACTGGAATGATCCTCACCATCAGGTTGCTATACTTTATATTTTATATATATTTATATACATTATTATACATTCTAATATTGTTTTTCTTTTTTAGGAATTATATTATAAATATAGCAAATTTCTACCATTTGTGAACAATGAAATCAATCTTTTCAATAATTCTGATTATAAAACAGGTCTAACCAAATTGAAACGTATGATACTTATTGGAGGCCCAGATGATGGAGTTATCACTCCATGGCAAAGTAGTCATTTTGGATATTATGATAATAATAATACTGTGATAGATATGCATGATAGATCTATTTATAAAGATGATGCGATTGGATTGAAAACATTAGATAAACAAAGTAAGCTAGAAATCATAACTGTCCCTGGAATTCATCATTCTGAATGGCATAAAAATATTTCTATAGTAGATCAATTCTTATTACCATATTTAGATTAAATTTAATAAAATGAATTTACAAGATAGAAATGTGCCAAAATGTGTCATAATAGAAAATTTAAGAAATATTACTCGATTGGACAAGTCTTTTTGCATATGAAATTTGATTTTTTAAGTAAACGAAATTTTATTCATGTGACTATTTTTCCATATTAAGTATAATATGTATATAACAAATAATTAAACTAATGATAAATTCTCTTTTACTATATCTCTCATGTTTTATATTAAAATGACTAAATTTATGAAGAAAAGATAAATATGAATAAATTGCATAATATATTTATATTTATACATGAGCGTATAAACTTGGCATGAGGCATTACTGTTCTCTTAATGTTATTATATACAAGTATATATTTATTGCTTATACAATGTAAATATAATTTCAAATCATTTATACATAGTCCTACATTAATAGGAAAATTTATGTACTTTCTACTTATAATAAATTTATTAATTTTTCTATTACAGAATTATAACTATATTATTATTAAAGTATTTATTGTTATCATGACTAAGTTTTTATAGCATAGCATTTAAAGTATTGGCACATTGCCTTATATTATTGAGTATATATAACACAATAGAAATTCTTTGGATAGAAAATCCAAAGCTTTTATCACTTATTTAATATAGTATAATCTATTTAAGTATTTAGAAATTTTTGTTATGTGTGAAACGTGTAATGAGATCTAATGCCCATTTTGGTTGATCCTTAGGAACCATGTGACCTGCATTTCGTACGAGAACTTCTGTTAAATTGTCAACCGTTTTCGTGTATCCCGCTAAATCATTTCCAACCATCCATATTTTTCTCGGTGCTTTCGCATATTTCTCTGCTCCAGACCATTGCAAATGTTTTAAGTAATTTTCCGTGAGTGGGTATGCTACAATAATATCTAATTGTCCATTGTAAATGAGCACTTTATAGTGTTGTAAAAGATCCGTCAAGAAAAATACTACAGATTGCATGATATCTCCTTTCAAATGTTCCTCAACGGTTTTAGTTTCAACATGAAAAGTGTTATTACCCACATGTATAGCACGTCTAACGTCAACTTTTTGAATCCAGTCAGACATCGAATCAGAATCATCATTTTTTTACTAAATAAATAGTTCATATAATAATCGAAACCAGTCAAATTGTGAAATAGGGATAGAGTGCTGGTTAAATCATTATTAAGGAGTATATCGAAAATTTCAAAAGCTTCGACATACTTCTTTTCTTTAATAAAATTGCGACCCTTTTCCTCATACATATGAAATTGAGCTTTTCCATTTTCATCTATTAACCCAAGTTGATACAAATAATCACCATATAATAATTGATTTTCTGGATCACATAATCCATTACCAATGGCTAGGCCTTTTAAATTGATTTTTGTCTCCGCTTTAATATTATAATCTTTAATGGCATGAGATAATGCAGGCACATATTTTCCAGCATATGATTCACCAGTAACAAAGAAATCATTATTTTGTAATTCTGGGAATAATAAAAAGAACTGTACAAGAGCAGTATGGAGGTCCCTTCCTACTTGTGTTTCATTCGTAACATATCCTCTTTCATCATCGGTAAAACTGTAGCCAGTACCAACTGGGTTATCAATGTATATTAAGTTATGTGCAATATTCCATGAGTATTTTCGCTATTGTTAAAGTTTTATTAGAAGTTACTGTAAACGGACCATTTTCCATAAAAAGTCCAAACAGAGAAGTTGCTCCTGGACCACCTTGCAACCATAAAACTACTGGCGCAGTTTTTGGATTATGCTATGGTATACAAATAAAAATTATTTTTAATTTTAACCTTAATTTAACAATTACAGTTACAAACACACTTATAATAAATTTATTAATTACAAATCAATTTACAATGAAATAATATGAAATCACGAAATAATGTATTCATTATAATTTTTAATGTTTCAAGAATTAACTTCAAAAAAAACTTTTGTCATATGTAAAATCAATTCAGAAAATTTCTCATAGCAATTAAATTACACACACACACACACACCACACATACATCAAGTGTTAGGTTATTTATGTTACTGATCATTCTTACCATGGCTGGGAAAAACCAGAAGAAAAGATTAGAATTGTATTTTTTGTTAACTGTAAGATAACCCGAGTAACTACTAATATCACCCATCTCTTTATGTTGAACAACAGCTTTCGTTCGTGCTTCTTCAATTTTTCCATTTTCTATTAAAGGTGTCAAAAAAAGAGGCGTACCAGCATCCTGTTTCTCATAAAACCAAAACTGTTTTAATTTCGGATATACATTCAAGAATCCACTCGTACTTTCATGTGGTAATGCAAAGAACAACACGCTTAAAGTTAAAACGAAAACGCTATTCATGTTGCTGGTTAGAAATTACAGCTGATACTACTTTGCTGTTACTCTGTCTTAAGTACTGTTCACAAACGCGTTAACTACGTACTTATTATGTGATTTATTAATACCGATCTTTCTCAATGTTATACAATGAAGATGAATAAGCTATAACATGTAACTTTTTTATTTCTTCTTATTTTATTTAAATGTTTGTTTAATACGCGAATCAAAATGGTTACGTATTAAGCATTAAATCTAGTGTGTGATATGAAGTAAATAGAACAAATAAGATTCAAATAAAGTACACATCAAATAATGTATAGTATCTTTCTACTAACTCTTTTGGCTAAACTTGTTGTCTTTTGGCTATATAAATTACATAAATTTTTAATATGTTTTTGTTATCAATACACTAAAATTAGAAATATTAACAATTTTGAAACTTAATTATTTAATTTTTTTGTATTGTATTCTGTATTCTTCAATTTACAATAATTTACATGTTTGCATTGTCTACATGAAAAAGATTTCATATAAACATCATATATGTAAAAAATCCATGTAGATATATTCTTGAAATGTATGGCCCTATTGATGATATGCAATTTTTGAAATAAATCCGTGTTACTGTGATATAGTATTAGCAGTTAATTTAATTATCAGTGAAAAAGGCTTATTGAAAAAAAATTACTATATGTTTTTCGATATTTTTTACATAGTATGATCATTGAGATTTTCAATTCTTTCAGACATACTTTAAATTAATAATACAGCCAAAAAGCCAAAAGAAGTCAGAGTCTCATAAGTAAAAATATCTTTTTATTTGTTTCCAAAATTTTGAGACACTTTGTATGTTGTGACTAAAAAATTACTTGTTTATATTAACATTTATTATATATAAAATTTACTATTTTATTTAGTTTATACATATGCGCTCGATTGATAACACAAAAAATAAAACAAAACTATTGTTATCGGGACTTTTAATCTGTAATTTGAATGTCGTACAGGCATAATTAAAAGTAATATATTAGCAATGTAAATGTGGTTACTGTGTATCGCTATCACAGTTTATATATACTTTTTTGATTAATGAGAATGCGCGATAAAGTGGAAAAGAACCGAATTGATTATTCGTCAAATTCTTCCACATTTTTCTCTGGTATATAGGAAATTCGATGTGATTTTAACTTCTATGGTGTAAAGTTACTATATTCAGTGTATAATTATAAACACAGTATTTGCCGCTTACTACGATCAGCTGGTCAAACCTAACTGCAACTGATATATATTTCTCGCATTTGAATCGCGTTGGCAACACGACAAGGTTAGTGTGACGTTTGCTATATTCAATTCCGGTTCTCATTAACTGCTGCGTCGTAAATTTATAGATGTCTATTTATTAGACTTACTATGTTAGTAATCTGTTAAATATTATTTGATTATACTTTGGTTATATTTGACAATAACAATAGAATTTTTTTACTATTAATGTTAAATTGCATTAGAAAATTTTTTATTCTCTAGGTATGAAAAATATATCATTAATATTTTATAAATACCTTTTGTTATAGTTCCTGTGGTATTGCTTGCTGTAGTCAAATTGGATATTTACATACATCTACGGATATACAAAATGAATGATTCCTTCTTAGAGGAGTTAGAATTAATACCAAAAGAATCGAAGCAGATATCACTGCAACAAGTGGATCGCCATGTAACTACTAGGCATGCTACTTCATCTCCTTTACCATCTTTTTTGGAACAAGATGAGAAAGATAATGTTATACGTTCGCAAAAGGAATATTATATGATAACAGTTCCAAGTACGTCTGATATAAAAATCATAGATAATAAGGAGCCTTCCTTGAAAAATTCCAAAAAACAATCTGATCAAAATGTGAAAAAACATTCTGTTAAAACATTCGAAAAAACTGAAAAGATCACAGAGAAAAGGAAATTTATAGATATGAAAGTAAAAATGAGTGATAATCAGCAGAGTGTCAGCAGAGAACATAAACTAAAACTTCAAGAGATAAAGTATCCTAAGACATCTGAAAATAAGATAACTATAAACAAAGATTGTAAACGACGTTCAGGATCACATAAAGAAATAACTCATTCGACAAATACTCCCATTAAAGAAAATAAACGTTCCCTAGATTCTTCTAATAATAATTTCTCGGATACTTCCAGTAAGGAGAATAGCCGTCCTTCTTCAGATTCTTCCAAAGAAGCGGGTTCTCATAATTCTAAAGAGAAGGAAAAATTAATCGATAAATCAAGGAAATCAGGTTTTAAAATACAAGATCAGGATCCAGTCGTTTTACTTACCGCTATCAAAGAATTAATAAGCACATATACCAAGCAAGAGAGCACAAAAATTCTACGAGCTATGCAGGACCTACATATAAACTCCCAAGCTACTTTAATAAAAAATATTTTAAACCAAACAGATGATTTAATCAAAGAAATGCATCCTAGCAAAGATTCTGCTAGAGTGAGAGCGTTGATTGACGAGAATGAACAATTACACCAGGAGTTGATGACTCTGCGAATGCGAAATGAGAATTTACAAAATAAATTAGAAGAGCTTGAATTTTTGAAGCAAGAAAATGCAGCCTTAAAATTGAAATGTAACGAGCAAATGCGAACATAATATTAAGTAATTACATAAAATATTGGATCGAAAAATATTTTTTTGTTTTTTTGCACTGAGTGCTAATTAGGACATTCACGAGACATTTTAATTATTTGACATATTTTGAAAAACGTATTATATAATTATAAGAATAGAAAAGACTATTCCTTGCGCAAAAATTATCAAAAGAGATTACACTTAGTAGGCTATTAACATTTGCATTTATTTTTACCTAGTGCAGCATAATGATAATGTAATGACAGCATAAAGACTATAGATATATATATTTAAATATTAATACATACAGTAAATTAAGTATTCTTATTAAGTATTCATTAAAATTTATTATCAATGACAATATCAAATAATTTATTTTTTTACTAAAACATTAGATATTTTCTCAAATACACAAATACTATTTTATAAGTTTAAAATAATTCTAAAATAATTTTATAATATTTAATAAATAAATTTATATTTGCTTATAAAATTTAGTTCTATCCTATATTTTCTACCTTTCATTCTAGTTTTTTGTATCAAAAGTGAATGCAATTTTATTCTTATTCTGATTTTTGAAATATTTAACATGATAGTTTTAACATGATAAATTATTTTATATTTAAGGATATATTAAAAGAAATAAAAATATTTTTAATATTCTGAATTTTTTAAGGTGTTAAGGTATGAAAAATGTTTGAAAATAATATCTTAAAAGATTGCATTAAAATAAGCTGTTATATTTTCGTACACAAATTATATACAATATATAAACTCTCTTCTTGCGATACATTTCTTATTAAATATTTAATGTGTGGATATCTTTGGCATATTAGCCAAATTGCAAAGCTTAATATGCATTCGCAATTAAAAGTACGTATAAAAAAAACAGAGAAAAATCATGTCGGTGGCGATTAATTCGTGTAATAAGTTTCTTATAAATAAGTTTATCTTAAATGATAATTTGAAAACACACACATTTAAGCGCACGAACTTTGATGATGAAAATATTTTAAGATTTTATATATATATAATTATCTATTGATAAATATATAAATATATTTTTTTAATTTACGTTGTTTTCGCGTTGACATTTTCAGTTTTTTTTTTAGAACAAATTTTAATGTATAATTAAACTCCATTAATGAATTGATTTGAACATTTATAACTAATAAATATTCAGATAATAAAATTTGTGTTTAATAAATTTTATAAATTTATGTATTTTGTAGAATGCTGGCAAAAATGTAAATCTGTTAACAGAATATAATGGAAAAAGATTTTACTATTTTATACATATATAAATATATGTGTATACGCA